CAATCGGCCAAAGGGGGGCGCTACAGCGCAAAAAACTAAAATTTCAGACATTATTGGCCCGAACTCATACACCCTTTGTCATAGACTCAAAAATTTTACATCGTTGAAATCCTTGGGTCAACACGAACAAAAGTGAAGTCAGACGGATTTTCTCTATGATGCACGGTTTTTCCGTAAAATTGACCTATATCCCAAACCTACTTTTGCGAACTAGTCCTAGGTTTTTCGCCTGATCAGAACCAAACCACTGCAAAAATATTCGGTGGACATTGAATATGAATAATTTTTTGAATGATTGCAAATGTTTAATGATTACTTTACTGATATTATACCCACATTAAACTCAAATCCACTGATTCTGTATCTTATTTCATGCTTTAAAAGTTGAATTTTCAACTTACATTTTTAAGCAGTAATGATTTGTTATTGTTAAACGGTTAACAATTGCATTCAGTCCTGCTGCCTGTTTATTACAACAAAAATTGTCATCGGCAGATAAATGTCAATGAGCAAATTACAAGCAATAGAGCCAAAGAGCAGGGTTGTAGATGTTCATGTGCAAAGATTGAATAATCAAATGTAAAATAAAATTGCATACTTTTCATTAAAAATAGAGTGATCCTTGAGCATTGAGTGATTTTCTTGTTTTTGATGGATTAGCATTAAAGACAGACAGCACCTGGTGAATGTGGTCGCTTTAATGTTCAAATCCAATATAATGATCCACATCCGATTTATTTCTCAACAGTTTATGTTTACGTGAGACATAAACAACTGTTTTCGATGATATTCGCCAAGTTATCATGTATTTTGAAATAATGTATGTGTTTGTCCGTTCGAGCGCAGAGAGAAGCGAGAATGAACGAGCTTCAGTGCGCAAGCGTTCAGAAACAAGACGCGGGTCTCAGTGACACAATACAGCTGGCAAGCACTGAATTTAGCTCTTGGTGTGTTTTAATGCTTGGATTGTATAAAATCGCTTGAATGTTTTAACTGCCTAGGCTTTAAAACACATGCAAATGATGAAGTTTAATGAGAACGCTGCAGTGAGCACTCACGATCTCACACGCAGCGCAAGGCTCTCAGTGACAGACAACAGCTCACAAGCACTGAATTTAGCTCTTTAATATGTTCTTATACTTCAATTGTGTAAAATCGCTGGAATGTTTTAATTTACAAGGCTTTAAAACACATGCAAATGATGTCCGCTTATTTTGGTTTAGCTTGTCAGTGTGAATGAAATGTATTAATTTATTTGCATTTTTATCCAATTTGAAAATGAAACTAAGTGAGAGGAGTTATCCTCTAGTGGGTTGCAATCGTCCTCTAGAGGGGGCATTTTTTTCTCAGCCAATGTAAGTCTATGGGACATTTTTTATTTTTAATAATTATTTATAGGAAAACTGTAAGTCTGATCAGTCTGAAAAGATATAGCAAAAAACTACACATCAGGGCCCAGGCCTCTGCCGAGTTTGGGGCTTGTAGCATTAAAGCCTTAGGAGGAGTTAGAGTCAGAAAATTTGGTCTCAGAAGAATAATAATAAGTCCCTCTCTCACAACAAATAATACCAGTGTTCGAATTGAGGGGGGGGAGGGGGTCCCGTACCCCCGATAACACCCAAAAAAATATACTTGGGGTGTCCCCTGGTTTTTCAATAAAGTTATAATACTTGAAACATGAAACTAGTGAAAATGAAAAGAAGATTCGATTGCTGTATTAAATTTAGACCTGCTCATGTTACATCGTATTTTATTTTTACACGTTTTACAGAGTTGCTCATATAACAAATCACACACGATTCTGTTGAACTTAAGAATGCAGTGGCCAATCAAAGGCGTTCAGATCAGTCATCGCTGAATTTTGTTTAGACTGAAACTCGCAAATTCCCTCATCAATTGCAACAAAAGTGCAGATGTACGTATGATAAAAGTAAGAGATTCATTTATCATACAGAATACAGGTGCATCTCAATAAATTAGAAAAGTCGTGGAAAAGTTAATTTATTTCAGTAATTCAACTCAAATTGTGAAATCCGTGTATTAAATAAATTCAATGCACACAGACTGAAGTAGTTTAAGTCTTTGGTTCTTTAAATTGTGATGATTTTGGCTCACATTTAACAAAAACCCACCAATTCACTATCTCAACAAATTAGAATACTTCATAAGACCAATAAAAAAAAACATTTTTAGTGAATTGTTGGCCTTCTGGAAAATATGTTCATTTACTGTACATGTACTCAATACATGGTAGGGGCTCCTTTTGCTTTAATCACTGCCTCAATTCGGCGTGGCATGGAGGGGATCAGTTTGTGGCACTGCTGAGGTGGCATGGAAGCCCAGGTTTCTTTGACAGCGGCCTTCAGCTCATCTGCATTTTTTGGTCTCTTGTTTCTCATTTTCCTCTTGACAATACCCCATAGATTCTCTATGGGGTTCAGGTCTGGTGAGTTTGCTGGCCAGTCAAGCACACCAACACCATGGTCATTTAACCAACTTTTGGTGCTTTTGGCAGTGTGGGCAGGTGCCAAATCCTGCTGGAAAATGAAATCAACATCTTCAAAAAGCTGCTCAGCAGAAGGAAGCATGAAGTGCTCCAAAACTTCTTGGTAAACGGGTGCAGTGACGTTGGTTTTCAAAAAACACAATGGACCAACACCAGCAGATGACATTGCACCCCAAATCATCACAGACTGTGGAAACTTAACACTGGACTTCAAGCAACTTGGGCTATGAGCTTCTCCACCCTTCCTCCAGACTCTAGGACCTTGGTTTCCAAATGAAATACAAAACTTGCTCTCATCTGAAAAAAGGACTTTGGACCACTGGGCAACAGTCCAGTTCTTCTTCTCCTTAGCCCAGGTAAGACGCCTCTGACATTGTCTGTGGTTCAGGAGTGGCTTAACAAGAGGAATACGACAACTGTAGCCAAATTCCTTGACACGTCTGTGTGTGGTGGCTCTTGATGCCTTGACCCCAGCCTCAGTCCATTCCTTGTGAAGTTCACTCAAATTCTTGAATCGATTTTGCTTGACAATCCTCATAAGGCTGCGGTTCTCTCGGTTGGTTGTGCATCTTTTTCTTCCACACCTTTTCCTTCCACTCAACTTTCTGTTAACATACTTGGATACAGCACTCTGTGAACAGCCAGCTTCTTTGACAATGAATGTTTGTGGCTTACCCTCCTTAAACTTGTTGGAAAATATTTTTTTCTGTCACTGCTGTGGACTGACCACGCAGAATATGAAGAATATCAAAAACTTTAGGAGTCAGCTGTCCACGGCAGTCCTGCAGCGTGTCACACTCAGCAAAATATCATCCGATTATCGAATGAATCATATTTATATAAGCTTTTATTTATTGATTGAAAGGGGAGTGTGGGGGGGGTCTATTTAGGGGGACCCCCCCAAGAGCTTTGACAATTCGAACACGAGTAATACTGCAATTCTTATTCATGCACTTGTTACCTCACATATTGACTACTGTAATGCTCTACTTATTATTCTTCCTTCTAAACTTCTCTATAAACACCAGTTAATTCAGAACTCGGCAGCTCGTGATCTTTCTAAGACTTCATCTATTGAGCACTTCAGATCTTCACTCACAATTTCTCTGGTATTGCCGCTTATACACTGAAGCACTATGGGAGCAAGAACTTTTAGTTTTGCAGCTCCTCGCCTAAGGAACTCTCTCCCCCAATCTACGCAACCGTGACAGTCCGCATAATTTTAAATCTCATCTGAAGGCTCACCTCTTTAACCAGGCTTTATTACTTGCTCTTATTTAGCCTTTACTGTATTTGTGTTGCATGCATGTATGCATTTGTGCTGTAACTTCATAATGCTTACGAAGTTTATCGTGGCCTTTACATGTGGGTATTTGGTCCTCTTAGACAAAAAAAAAATCTCTTTAAATTGTAAATTGGTTATGTAGAGAAAGGGCATTCCCTTATAGCACAGCTGATTTTGACAGTTGACCAGAAATTACTTAACTGGCTTATCTAAAACCAGGAAGTAACTACGCATAGTCAATTCCACCCCTGACTGCAAGCTGCAACTCTCGCCGATTGGTCTGCGCAGCTCCGCATGAAGTCAAACACACTACAGTTCCCAGCACGAGATCCAGGCGTCTGCATTTACAGGCTTATAAAATAACTGCCTAATAACACTAACTGAACACTGGTGCCGCACAGATGTACCTTCTCATCTAAGCCAGTCAGCAGTTTAACATCACTCGTCAATGTCAAAATGACAGTTGACCAATTAAATCCATGAAGGGAGGCATTACCTCTTTACAGGGGTGTAAAAAAAAAAAAAAAAAAAACCCCAAATTAAACTTAAGAGATAAAGAAAAATGTTTCCTAGTATAATTTAAAGCAGGACACTGAAACATTTTAGGTGTAAAAAAAAAAAAAAAAAGCCCCAAATTATACTTAAAAGTACAGATACAGGAAGTACGGAATTTTATTTGACCAAAAATATAGGCCTACTTACGCGGCCTACTAGTAGAAGTTTAAGTACAACCTTAAATTGTACTTCTTAAAAATGGATGACATGTACTACAGAGGAGAAACTGACTGCAGCCCATGAGGCAGATGCATCCGTCACTCCTGACCAGCTGAAGAACCTCCATGAGAATACAGAAATGCAAAGAATTTGCAGAAGGCGTGACAGCTGCAGCAAAATAAATAAATAAATAAATTTAAAAAAAAGATTTTATGGTCCCCAAGACATAGCGTTGTATATTGTTTAAAAATGGACACATTTTTTTCCTAAATCAGGGGTGTTTGGGTCTCAGGGAGAGATCTAAAAAAAGATTTTATGGTCCCCAAGACATAGCGTTGTATATTTTGTTTAAAAATGGACACATTTTTTTCCTAAATCAGGGGTGTTTGGGTCTCAGGGAGAGAAACTTGCACAAAGCACTGATGCCAGAAAGCAGCCAAATGATAACAAACACCAAATCTTTAATCAAGAAATTCTTTATTTGATTTGGGGGGGGGTCTTTCTAAACTGAGCAAACAAGGAAAACATGCCATATGAATAAAGCTCTGAATCGAAAAGATCTCCAGTAAAGGTTATGCAAAATGCCCATTTCAATGACCACATCCCTTACAATTTCCCTGATTGCTTCACTGAGCTTGACCGCTTCCATGACCACTTCCACTTCCATAGCTACTTCCCTGATCGCTTCCCTGAGCTTGACCGCTTCCATGACCACTTGCACTTCCATAACCACTTCCCTGATCGCGTCCCTGAGCTTGACCGCTTCCATGACCACTTCCACTTCCCTGATCTTGACCTCTTCCCGGATCGCTTCCACTTCCATAACCACTTGCACTTCCATAACCACTTCCCTGATCTTGACCTCTTCCCTGATCACTTCCACAGCTACTTCCCTGACCGCTTCCACTTCCATAACTACTTGCACTTCCATAACTACTTCCCTGATAGCTTCCCTGAGCTTGACCTCTTCCCTGACCACTTCCATAACTACTTCCCTGAGCTTGACCTCTTCCCTGACCACTTCCATAACTACTTCCCTGAGCTTGACCTCTTCCCTGATCACTTCCACTTCCATAGCCACTTCCCTGACCGCTTCCACTTCCATAACTACTTCCCTGATCGCTTCCCTGAGCTTGACCTCTTCCCTGATCACTTCCACTTCCATAGCCACTTCCCTGACCGCTTCCACTTCCATAACTACTTCCCTGATCGCTTCCCTGAGCTTGACCTCTTCCCTGATCACTTCCACTTCCATAGCCACTTCCCTGACCGCTTCCACTTCCATAACTACTTCCCTGATCGCTTCCCTGACCACTTCCACTTCCATAACTACTTCTTCAATGACCACATCCCTTACAATTTCCCTGATTGCTTCACTGAGCTTGACCGCTTCCATGACCACTTGCACTTCCATAACCACTTCCCTGATCGCGTCCCTGAGCTTGACCGCTTCCATGACCACTTCCACTTCCCTGATCTTGACCTCTTCCCGGATCGCTTCCACTTCCATAACCACTTGCACTTCCATAACCACTTCCCTGATCTTGACCTCTTCCCTGATCACTTCCACAGCTACTTCCCTGACCGCTTCCACTTCCATAACTACTTGCACTTCCATAACTACTTCCCTGATAGCTTCCCTGAGCTTGACCTCTTCCCTGACCACTTCCATAACTACTTCCCTGAGCTTGACCTCTTCCCTGACCACTTCCATAACTACTTCCCTGATCACTTCCCTGAGCTTGACCACTTCCCTGACCACTTCCATAACTACTTCCCTGAGCTTGACCGCTTCCCTGATCACTTCCACTTCCATAGCTACTTCCCTGACCGCTTCCACTTCCATAACTACTTCCCTGATCGCTTCCCTGAGCTTGACCTCTTCCCTGATCACTTCCACTTCCATAGCCACTTCCCTGACCGCTTCCACTTCCATAACTACTTCCCTGATCGCTTCCCTGACCACTTCCACTTCCATAACTACTTCCCTGAGCTTGACCGCTTCCCTTATCATTTCCCTGAGCTTGACCGCTTCCATAACTACTTCCACTTCCATAACTACTTCCCTGAGCTTGACCGCTTCCACTTCCATAACTGCTTCCCTGAGCTTGACCGCTTCCCTGATCACTTCCCTGACCTTGACCGCTTCCTTGACCGCTTCCATAACTGCTTCCCGGAGCTTGACCGCTTCCATGACCACTTCCACTTCCTTGACCGCCTCCGCTTCCGCCTCCACTTCCAGAACTGCTTCCGCCTCCACTTCCAGAACTGCTTCCGCCTCCACTTCCAGAACTGCTTCCGCCTCCACTTCCAGAACTGCTTCCGCCTCCACTTCCAGAACTGCTTCCGCCTCCACTATCACTTGCCTGAATACTTACATAACCATTTCCATGATCACTTGCCTGAACACTTACATGAACACTTGCGTGAACACTTCCCTGACCATTTCCTTGACCATGTGGTTCACTGCATGCATGGCCACAGGTGGTTGGGCAACATTTCTGTGTGTCAGGACACTGGCCATCATGGAAACAGCTTTCAGCACATGCATGAATGTTCTTTGGTTTGGGACATAGACCCGGCTTCACTGCATAGACACAGATAGTCAGCTTTAGTCTGTGCATATAGACTGTGAGCCACTTCAATACACAGCAAGAAACACTCAAAGCACAAATAGCAAGTTTTACCTACAGAGTGAATAATATTCTAAGTATTATTCCTCTATTTTCTAAAGCCATCCCGCTTAAAACGGTCCTAAGGGATGAATTCAAGCCTACTTTTGATGAGAACAAAATGCTAATTAAATTTATCATTATTATTATTAACATGTGACCAAAACAATATAACGCATACCTGTATACGGAGCTGTACAGTAATGTTCACATCCATTGCTGCAGCACTTCTCATTGTTGGGACAGTCAGAGTCACTGTTACAGGACGTGGTACACGATCTTCCAGAGGTTGGGGGCGGACACAGTCCTGGCTTCATCACTGATTGCTGAATAATTCGATCCACTTAAATTAAAAAAAAATAAATAAATAAAAATAAAAAAAAAATTTCACGTACTTCAGTCTCTGCTTAAAAGCTTACACTGAATTCAATGCGTTACTTTTTTTTATTTTTTTATTGGAGGACTCCTAGCATCCATTAACTCACTGGAAACAGGTGGCACACACACAGGCCCCGACTCAAATATACAGCATTTGTCTCCTCCAGAGCAGTCTCCATCAGTAAAACATCCTTGACGGGACGGCACGACCGTCAGCTTCATCGGACAGAAACCGGCCACCATTGTTGGGAAGGTCACTTGGAAATGTAATAGGTTACAGATTGCAAGTTATCCCATTTAAAATGTAATCAGAGAAAACACCACTGAATGCTGAACGTTTACATTACATTTCAGTCTCTGCTTCAGCTTACTTTGAATTCAATGGGTTTTTTTCCCTTTTTTTTTTTTTTTTTTGGAGGACCCCGAGCATCCATTATTAACTCACTGGAAACAGGCGGCACGCACACGGGCCCCGACTCAAATATACAGCATTTGTCTCCTCCAGAGCAGTCTCCATCAGTAAAACATCCTCGACGGGACGGCACGACCGTCAGCGTCATCGGACAGAAACCGGCCACCATTGTTGGGAAGCTCACTTGGAAAATGTAATAAATTACAAGTTACCCCATTTAAAATTTCAATTACTTTGTTAAAGTAATGTAGCTTACATTTGATTACTTTCCTAAATTTCTAACGAATGTTTTCAACTCCAGTAATTTTGAAACATTTAAACCAGGCAGGTTTAACATTACTGTAGTATTCAACACTGATTACGGTCAGACTTTCAAAAGGTCTTAATCACGTGAATTAAGATTAAAATTTAATTTTAAAAGCACAGCCACCACAAAAAAAATTTTTTTTAATTAAAAAGACTTTAGCACCCCTTTTTACTTTGAGATTGTTCTCTAAAAAGTTTAAATAGAGATTTAAAAGCATAAGAAATATTTTAATAGCCATGATACCATTTTTGACATCAAATCTTTGCATAGTTATGACCAGAAACTCTGGCATGTAACAATGCCTTGGGGAAAAAAAATTAAAGCAGATACATAAACCCAAATAGGAAATGAAATAGGCTAGTTATCAAATAAGTATGTCCTATTCGGTGTCCAGACTCCTGAAACATTGGGGTCTCACATTTTGGAATTACTTTCAAAGACCGAGAATCACTTATTTCTGCATTTCTTCAGGATGTGTAATGAAGTGAACAGATCTTCTCACCTGTGGCGTCTGTTATGCTCAAGTACCCGGACAGACCCGATAAAAAAGCAATCAACGAGCAGTACACTCGAGCTGTCATCCTCCCGACCTCACAATGATCTCTGCTGGAAAATGCGCTGAATTGGTGCGTCAGGAAAAATGGACAGCGAAGCGCACTAAACTAAAACAAATAGCCGTGTCGCTGCAACAGAAACCTCTGTAAAATGGGGTTTTAAAGATCCAAGGAGATCAGGTCAACTCCAACCCTGATCAAACTCACCTGCCTGTAGCTTTCTAGTAATCTGGAAGACCTTGATTAGCTTGTTCAGGTGTGTTTGATTGGGGTTGGATGAGACTGCTGCGTTCACGCCATGTCATAATAATTAAGGTAGCCTAATTACGAGAGGACTGAACTGCTTTGTCCAAATTGACCGCACTTGCGGTCTTTGCACTTGACCATAGCCGATCTGATACAGCAGTGGCTGGTAAACATTACGACAGAGTGTCAGTGCTCTAAACTAGGAATCGCGACGCTGCAGTGTATGTGAGATCTGAGGCCCGTTCTTATGGCGAGTGGATCATGCCGGGGATAACCTACCGAAGTCGACAGTCGTATACTTTTTACATGTGAGAAGGGGTAAAACAGCATCCCTTTAATGTTCAAAACATGTTTAATTTAACTTCACTTCAACGCTAACGTAACATGTATGTATATATATATGGAAGCCAAAAAGACTTCCGCATACTACGGAATACGTAACTTTAATTCTAAATTAATGTTATCAGAGGTGAAAACTGGCAGAAAGATAATGTATTGAACTAATATTCAATTTCATGGTATCCCATGGGCAAAAAAAGAAAAGAAAAAATGTGGCAGCAGAAAAAAATTTAATATAAAAACATAATTCAATCAGGTAAAGCTTCAAGCATGGGTGTAGGCTAACGTTACATGACTTTAAAATATTTGACATTCAATAAATGTCATTCAGTGTATCTATTTCAATGTGCAGCAGCTTTTCCCACATAGTCTAATGCTTTTTCACATAATTAAATGTTCTCTAATCCAACATGCTACATACAGGGAAAATAATAATTTGTTGCTTTTGTATTTGTAGAACATAAAGATTACCAAACAAATTGTGAATAATTTGTGTTTATTTAACAGCTGTCGTGGTGGTTACGGCATATATCTTGCACTACCCTTCCATCTGGCATCCTTCCATTCCATACAGTATTTAAGTCGTAGAATTTATACCCGTTGCACCATCTCTGCGTAGTGCTATGTCTGAGACTAAATCTTACGCCTAGTCAGAGGTAGGTGTAAAGTGAAAAGTCATGATTTACTCGGACATTATTCATTTTAAGGATTCGTGTCTGTTAGTTATTTATTACTGCAGACGTGAACTGTAATGTTTATGGTCTTTTCGGGCAGGTTAAGCGATGTCAATCGCGAAGCTCGGTGTAGACTATACCACACTGCCGACAGTAATAGACCTAATAAAAACTGTATTTCTGTACAGCATGTAATTATGCAGTAAAATATTACATATAATCTGGGATTATTAAAATAAACTGTACCATTCGACATCTTGCTTGGAAGGACGGTATAAATGCTTAGAAATATTTCACGCCTTTAATTCCATTCATTATTTGTAGCGTGCCTGCCATCCAATAATCGTAAATTTTGTGCTTTGTTACTTTTAATTGGAAATAAAGTATCAGCTTTCAAATTCCGTCAGTTTTATTACAAAATACAAACTAAATGTGTTTTTTCAGCCACAGAAAGATATCAGTAAAACAATATCACGTAAAGTCACATTTACCCCAGGAAAGACATTCATTGTACATAAACTTGATAGTAAGCTAGAAAAAAATAACTAGAGAGAAGCATTGTATTATTGCATCCTCATTTCCTTTCCTCGCTTCCTTTTCGCGTCTTAGCTCCACCCCTTAAGGATGCGAGGGAAGGACGCAAGGAAAAGACGCAAGGATGCACAAATAAGAATTGAGAAGCACCCTTAGAGAATTGAGATGTCCTTCAAGATGGCTGAGCGCGATTGGTATGGGTCATAGGATGGACACGGGAAACACACCCCAGGGGCCGGTTGCACCAGCTAGACGTAAAAAAGCTGGGTGTAAGCCCTACGCTGGGCTTTGCAACGTCCAGCTTTACGATAAATATTTTTTACGTCTAGCTGGTGCAACCGGCCCCTGGGGTGTGTTTCCCGTGTCCATCCTATGACCCATACTGATCGCGCTCAGCCATCTTGAAGGACATCTCAATTCTCTAAGGGTGCTTCTCAATTCTTATTTTTGCATCCTCATTTCCTTTCCTCGCTTCCTTTTCGCGTCTTAGCTCCACCCCTTAAGGATGCGAGGGAAGGACGCAAGGAAAAGACGCAAGGATGCACAAATAAGAATTGAGAAGCACCCTTAGAGAATTGAGATGTCCTTCAAGATGGCTGAGCGCGATTGGTATGGGTCATAGGATGGACACGGGAAACACACCCCAGGGGCCGGTTGCACCAGCTAGACGTAAAAAAGCTGGGTGTAAGCACTTGATTCAATTCCTCCTCCCTCGATCCTCGCCTCCTCGCAGTGCAATTAGAGAATTGAGATGTCCTTCAAGATGGCTGAGCTCGATTGGTTTCCGGGTCGTAGGATGGAGGACGGAGGAGTGAGGAAACGAGGAGGGATATTGAGAAGCACCCTAATTGCACCACGAAAAGGCGAGGATCGAGGAGTGAGGAGGCTTCCTGAGGAGCTATAAGCAAGGATACAGAGGTGTATCCTTTGCGGAAGTGTTTTTCATCGAAAAACCTGACACACTTACACATTCTCCTACCCCTTCACATCTGTTGTAATAATTTTAATTTAGATTTTACCTTTGCAGTTTAAATAAACCATACATGTCATATATTTCAACAGGACATCTTGCTTTATTAAAATTTATTATGAATATCTTAACAAACTTTAACAACATAAGGGCAGATCCCTTTAGCGCAGCTGATGACGCTTTGAAGTGACGCTAAAGGGAATGAGGATATATCATTTCACTTGATTCAATTCCTCCGTCCTTGATTCAATTCCTCCCCTTCCTTGCGTCCTTCCCTCGCATCCTAAAGGGGTGGAGCTAAGACGCGAGGAAAGGAAGTGAGGAAAGGAAACGAGGATGCACAAATAAGAATTGAGAAGCACCCACGCCCTGCGTTCCATTCGGAAGGGCTCATCCCTATGCCCTAAAGGGTTTACCCTCCAGAATGAGATATTCGAA